TAAAAGCAGTTCGCTTGTTCGCCGAGCTTTACTTCTTCCTCTTTCCAGGGGAAGTTGGCATGAATGAGTAAGGGCTGCATGGGGACGAACCCGTGGATGCGACGTGGATGGCAACAGGCAACGTGACTGTCGAGCCAAAAGAGTAGGTCGATTCTATGTCGTGGATGCGACGTGATTGCCCTGCGCCCTACACTCGAAACGGGCACTGCGGGGCAATGGCTCACTAGGCAAACCACCACACACTGGCGCCTCTACGTGATATCGACTCGACTGAGACGTAAATATATGAGCGACAATCCACGACGTAACCGCGACGTGGATTCGAGGTGTATAATGCCAATCCACGTAACGCGCGCGCTTATCGAAGTGGATGCATCAACGCGTCTGTAGTGCGGGGCTGGACGTCCGCCGCCTCGCTGATATCGTAGAGCAGGTGAGCAGGAGTCCCGACAATTATGCCTCGGAGCGCCTGCAGGCCACCCAGCACTCTCATTACGTGTGTTATTGTGTGCACAATCTCCTCCCAGTTGAGTAAATATTATTCGCGCCAAGGCATCGGTGGCGCCTGCTTGATTGGCAATCAGCTGCTGAGCCGCCCTGGCGCCCTCCGCCCCGCGTGGCAGCCGCGCCCTGGCCAGCGGAGTCACAGCGGAGCCATAGAGAGCCACAGAGAGCCACAGCGGAGCCAGCCCCCATACAACTGCTTTGTTTTTCATGTCGTCTGGGAACCTTCCTGTTTTCATGCTCCGCGCATCCCCGCCTGTCTGCCGCTCACAAACAAGTGGCAGTCGTCGGCGCGGTGGTGGTGCATCCCATGTTTGTCAAGTCGGACCGATCAACCCGAAAATAGCTCTCGCACCTAGAGGTTGTGTTTCATAAACAGCGACAAACAGCAAACAGCCGCCGCCGCCACCGACGCGACGCCGGCGTCCCGACTGCAGGAGCCGCGTGCGCGCGCAGCCGCGAGCATTCCCTCAAGCGGAAGTAAGTCACATCCGCGCGGTTTTCCGCTCATTTCACTTGTTATTGCGGCGGTCTCTTCATGCCACATCAGGGCTGCGGCCGCGGCAGCAGCTGGCGGGTCGCATGGCCGCTATATTCCTGGTGCGGTCTGTCGGGGAATTCCCTATCAAGGTCCCCTCCGTTCGTTCCGGAGCCGTACAGCAGATACACTGCAAAACTTGCCGCTATCAGGGACGGCCGGGCCCCGGGCTGGCGGCGGACCTGTGTCAAAACAAGATCTGCGTGCCGCGATACCGGCCCGCCTGTCTGAGACTTGTTTGTCGCAAACACCGCCCTGCTCCTCATGCATGTACTCGCGGCGTCCGCGTGACGCTCGACGTGACGGCAGGCAGCGCGGGGGCGCCGCGGCTGCCGCCCGCCCGGGTCCGTTTTCCTGTTGATGAACAGCGCGGCGCCCAGCTTCTCGGAGAGCGGGCCACGCACCGCGCCCTCCGAACATATGAGGAGGAAACGTTCTGCGAACGCGAATAGCAAACTCACGTATTTCCCTACAGGAAAAATGAAGAAACTGTAAGCGGCCGACAGCCGACATGCGTTTTATACATTTTGTTCACGTTTCCTATTTGCGTTCGTCAGTTTGACTCTCTTATTACGATTACTTAACGGGGGTACCAAGAAACACACCGGACTCCGGATTCCCATCCCGAACTTCGTGGTCGAAACCTGTCGTAACCGACGTCCAGACAATAAGCGGGCTTAACGCCTCGGGACATGTATGTATTTGTATCAGTACGCAATCGTACGTCCCTTCCCCAAACTATGCTCTGCCACTGGGTGGAGCTAGAGCTGGACCGCCTCACGCGTTTGTTGGGATCGTAAAGAATTTCAGTGGCTCTCCTTGTGGCTTTGCTGCTTTCACAGCATAACGGCCGAACCAGCCTGGCCTAGGCCGCGCGGAAGTTTCTGTATTCTTTGAGGCCATTTGGACAGTTTTGACCAAATGTGTCAAAATTGACGCCCCTATGGAACCAAATGAGTGGGCTGCCGTCCGTGGCAGCTGCTGGTGAACTCGATCATCATTGGGGTGCACACCTCTGCGCGACCATAGCAGTATGTGCTTGCAGCAGGGCTTGCAAGGGTAGGGCTTGGAGTCGCAAACAACAACAGCTTTGGTCAGCAGCGACGTGCGTGGCCGGTGACTCAGCCGTGGCCACAGAGGTCGTGGCTAATAGTCCCGCACCCCAGAGGAGGCCTCTGCTCTCCTCTCCCTCACGGCGCGGCTCCGCGGATCCCATCAGGGCGGCCCTCTAGGCGGCCCGCGCGACAGACTGCCGCGCCTCCGGAAATACAAACGCGATCGGGGTGTGCGGTGTGCGTGCGGGTATCGCCCCGGGGGAGGGAGCGCGCGGGAGCACACACCACACACGGCCACCATCACGACCAGACCAGACCAGGCAGCCGCGCTCCCGCCTTGTGCTGCTGCTGCTGCTGCTGCTTGATCTGATTGAGGCCCATACCGCCGCTGGACTGGGCCGGGCGTGGCGCGCCATGCTGGTCAGATAGACCAATCATGCCCAGCCGACTGATATCGCCTCAAAAGGTCTGTCCACGGCGAAAGAGAAGTAGTGACGTGCAACCTGCGCGGTGTAGCCTAGACAGCAAAACAACCTCTCTAGTGCCGGTATAGTGCGACATTTGAGCGAAACCAAGCCAAACCGAGCCGGACTAACAGTGGTGGAGAGGCCCCGGCCCTCGCCGCCAAGCTCCCAGGTCGAGCACGAGGGCCTCTTGGTCCTTGGTAGCACAAACCGCCGCTGCCCGGTGGTACCCCCCCCCCCACCCTCCCTTCCCAATTCTCTCGTTCCCCCGGGGTCCTGACCTCCCCGTCGGTCTGTCCTCTCAATGACGCCACGACCCCGTTCCCTCTCTCCGTCTCTCTCACTCTCTCCTCGTTCGTCCTGAGGGCGCGCCTCGCATCCCGTCGGGGGGACTGGGGGGGGGGGGCATGCGGCAGACACTGGCGGTGGTGGCGCAGGTTGCGAAATATATATCCTGACCTACGAGTTCGTGAACTTCCCCCTCCCCCGGCCCCCTCTCGCTCTTGCTCTCTCCCCCTTTGCGCTGTACCCGCGCCGGGCTGCGGCAGGCGACGCGACAGTCCGTCCTCTCGCACTCCGTGTTCCTGCGCGCCCGCGCCCCGCCGCAGCCCCGC